GAATTTTTTAATATAATTATTTCAAGGATTCCCCAGAGGCCATTTTAAGCCTATCGAGGCGGTCTTCATTTGTGTACAGAGGTGAGGAGATCAATGAGGAACAATAGACAAGCAGCGAAAATGTTGCAATTCCAGCTAATCACTCAACAAGGTTGAAGGTCAGGTTGTGTGCAATTCCTCTGAGGAATTCCAGAGGTGGTCGTGCCTCGAATGAGTGAAGTAGGGTCCTCAGCCTTCAGTCACAGTCTGCGTATTTCTTCTTTCTTTTCGCTGCACCGTGGCCAGCCACCAGCCTCTGCGGGTGTTGGGAATTTTTTGTACGGACGGAATGCATCACGCTTGCGTTTGATCTGAGCTCGCAGGGCTGGTGTCAGCCAGGGAGGTTGGAAAAGTTGTGGGCGATTGGATGGCTGTCGGATGCGGCGCATAGGAAGGTGAAATGAATAAGTGTGAATATTGGCAGACTGTGTTGGATGCGCACGATTTTTAGCACTCCAGGGAACATGAAATACAGCGAGAGGTGTTTAATTAACTGTTGGCATAGAAATTACAAGTTTACGTAGAGTAGGTCAATATCAGATAGGGCTCTCTCGAATTAATTGGCAGCAGTTATCGATCTTACATCAGCAGGGAGAGTATGTTATGCAATACTGCCCTGAAACATCATACTCGAACGACCAGCAGTCCTGCGAAGGGAATTGACTTGGACCAATTTGGAAACTTGCCACCTAGTGATGCATGCGGTGATCATTCTGCACGGTGTCTGGAGCAGTTGTTGCAAGAGTTGCTGTAGGATGTAGGAGTAGGCGACAATATCCATTGATACAGCGCTGTAAAAATTTCTGAATGTATGTGTGTGCCAGGCCGACAATACTAAGAAGTGCCAGAAGCGGTGCGGTGGGGGTGAGAAAGCACTGTTGCAAGGTTGCACGAATGCCGGCTTTGAACATCTTCTCCAGACGTCCAAGCAGCTTGGCAGAAGGCCCAGGAAGAAAGCTATTCGAACCATAGTATATCTGAGAGAGGACCATACAGAGGAACTAAACGCCTCTTGCACGCAAACTAAGTCCTTGACCATGCCTCCAGAGCTGACCAATGGTCCTAGCAGTTGTGCGGCTCAGTTGTGCAATGTGGGGTTTCCAGGACCGTTCATCATCGTGTATTACCCCGAAATACTTAGCCGAATGCGTGACAGCAAGTTTGTCAGCATGGCAGAACACCTCACGGTGCAAGTCATCTGCGCCAAGGCAGGGGCTTTATGACCAGAAGCTGAGAAGTTTTTGCTGCATTCTGCGGCAATCCAATGTCTTCGAGGCATGTGTGCCCAGGGGAGCGGTTTGTATATGGATGATGTGTTTGCGCGTCGTGTGAATGGCCTACAAAGGAGCCCTTTTTCCCCGCAGGCTCAATGCTATACATAAGCTGCGGCCCACATTTATGGGCGAGAAAGCTAACAGGCGCGTACGCACTATATTCGCAGGTACGTGACGTGACAGCCAGGAAAACACCAACTGCACTAACTACAAGGGTGGGTTAGCAGAGCTGGTTTTGTAATCCCATTGGCCATTATGCAGGCCTGCTATGCTCGGCTAGGACCCGGCGTAATATGCCCGAAACTTTGCCGAAAATGCTTTTGGGAAATTCTCGTAAACCTTGCCGAAAATACTCCCAAACCTTGCCGAAAATGCTCGGAAAATGCTCAACAAGAAGCTAGCCCACGGAATGCGGAAGTGACGTTCTTGTTTTGGAAGTTTTTCTTCTCTCAATTTTGACACACAACGGCCAAGTGCTCCGTTTCCCCCAAAATGCTGCATCGCGAGCCCAAAGTGCTGGGTTCGCGGATTGTACCGAAAATGCTAAAAAAATGCCGGCATATTACACGGGGGGTCATGCTCGGCCGGACTGTCAACGCCAAATCAGGACTTTTGCACGCGCATTGGTGCCGCCAGAGGCACCTGGCTGCATCTGAACCGCCAGCCTCCGGAGCTCCTCCGTTGTCGACTAACTGCTTCTAATAGTAATACACAGGAAACAAGAACTTGCCAACTGCTACTGTTCAGTAGAGATCCAAGTAATCGTTGCTGTTGCAGAATTTTATTAATACGTCTATTGGAAGAGAGGAAGAAAGTCTTGCCGAGCCATATCTGCAGGTGAGTAATACATAAGGATGTCCGTTGCTAGACCCATAACCTGTTCAAACCTCCCCAGTGTTTGACTTCTGTACGCCAATTCTCTTAACGTACAACTTAACTATCGACCATTTTCCCCTGTAAGATGAAAGTTGTCTGTTTTCCACATACGGAGTCATTGGCCGGGGATAACTCGTGCGTGCACCTCGCCATCGGTTGTGCAGCCCATCTCTTCTTCTGAACGGGGAATTGACAGACTAGGCTGGTCACACTGACTTTGGGCACGTTTCGAGAAGCAGAACAGGCTGTACGTGCAGCAGCTATCCGAAAAAGGAATCCTTTCAGCTCTTCCTCTGTCGACAACGGTGGGGGCGAGGAGACGAAACTTGAACTTGTTTCAATAAAAGTTAAAAACAGGAAAAAGAGCGAAACAAAAAGGTGATTATACTACTTGGAAGTACATGGCATTGTATTCAGCAGAGGATTATTTTAGCAGGTAACAACATGCCTGCGTGAATCATCATCATCAGCAAAACAAAGCACAACCCTGAATAGACGGAAGGAAACGTGAATGGAGGGGCGGTCTATCACACTCACCACACTCGCACTAAACTACTACGTGAACAATTTGAGGGTGATAACACTTTCCTTCTGTACACACAACACTTGCTTGCACAAGTGAATGAAGATTGCCTCTACAATGTTAAGCTGCATATCATGAGTATGACTCGCACGGCACAACACAGTGAAAGAAGAATCTGAGTATGAATGACAACAATCAGCGTGACCTACCAAATGCCTGTAAAGTGCCGATTTCTTGACATCCAACTCAGGCATTAGGTGGCTCCGTTGGAGTTTGTGGACAATTAGAAAAGTTGGAGATTTCAATAATGCTGTGATGTGTGCTGTTGTTTGTGATTTTCAGACTGTCTAGCAAGATGGCCCGGCAACTTGAGTTGACGGTAGTTATCTTCTTGATGTTCACCTCGTATCAATATGCTGGTGAGTTCAGGTCCTCTGTGCTTTGGAAGTGCTGGTTGGTTTCTCTTACATTCAAATGCAGTAGAATGGCGATTATCGGAACGTCAGCTATCCCAGGATTAAAGGGGCACTCCGGGAATATTTTCGGTAGTGTGCTCTCTTCATGGGGTCCTTGTATGGCCCCCAAGGAATGGGGAATCGCGAAAACTAGACCCAAAAAGTCGATATATTAAGCCAGGGAGGGCCAAGTTTGTCTCCTCGCTGATGGCCTTGATGACGTCACGTGTGATTAGGATTCAAATTTTCTGCATTTGAAGGTATTAGTTGTTTGAATTTTCTAGTGATGAAGAACGATGTTTGGTCGACAGTCCCGAACTTCACAGCTGCAGCCATACTCCAAGGAACCTGAAGGACCTCCTGAGCCTGCTGCGGTACCCCTGGTAGAAGCGCAGCATGATGAGGGCCAGGAGATTGGACCAGACGACTTCACTGGTCGAGAAGGAAACAACGCTTGGTGTTCCTGCCAAAAATGTGGGGTAATGCAGAGGGCAGTCGATTGCCTTTGCTGTCGAGAGAGCACTGGAGCTGTAAGCATTGGCAGCGCTTTGACATGCGTTACACATCACCCCGACTTCCCGCCAGCTTGTCTAAACCAAACTGTTTTGACAATATGCCTCACGGCGTATAGAGAATTTCGGGATCCTCGTACTGACATCCATGCAAACAGGTAAGCACTTCGTCCATCGTCACTCTTGCGTGTGGAATGTGACTTTGTTACGGACATGACTATAATCAGTCTTGCATGTCACGACATTTGCTCCTGTCTATCTATGGCTGTGTGTGCAACAACATTCATGACAAATTTCAATTTTCTTTTTCAATTGTCGATTTGTATTTTTGCATGTAGGTCACTACGTCTAGCAGCATACAGACAGTATACTTGGTGGGTTCATGGCTACCTAGGACGTGGTGACAGGCGTGTGATTCCATCGTGCATAGTAACAGCCATTAGAGAAGCTTTTCCAGATCCATCACAGCAGTACAAAGGATTTGAAGATGCCAGAGACGATGAAGAAGAGCCGTTTTGGCTTGGTTGACAGTGCGCTTACAGTCAATATCTGTCTGTCTCTCTCTCTTTCTCTCTCTCTCTCTCTCTCTCTCTCTCTCTCTCTCTCATTCCCCCGTACGCGGACACACATACACACACACATAATTATGTATTTTGAATTCGAGGTGCTGACTGCAGAATATACAATGTACTTAGAATAATATCGTGTCCAAGAGAGAGACATGAAAGTGATCGAGTGTTAGACTTTTATATGGCGAATTATTGGCTTATTGTTGTTTGAGAAGTGAACGGTGTGTAAGATACACACTCGTACACACACAAGTGCGTACAGCACACACACACACACATACACGCGCGCGCGCACGCACACGCACGCGCACACGCACACACAATTCCTGCACAGCTCACAGCAAGAGAGAGAAGAGCATGCGGACATGCTGAAGAGCAGTCACTGCAGGCGTGACATGTGCTGGGTGATCACGTCTTCCTTTGGAGGACGTGGCACAGTAGCGATGTTGGCAGGAATGTCCGTTGGGACATCGGGATAGTTGGCAATGCACTCAGGGGTTTTCCCTGATAGAACTGCAGCCTTGGTCTCCATCACATCTTGCATGAGTCGGTACATGTAAGAAATTGATTTCTTTGAGTATATCTTCCGTGCGACCCAAGCCTTCTTCGCCTTGGGGAAGACCAACTTCCAACGCTCTGTTCCGTCTGCCTTTCTCGCCTGCTTTCTGCCAACGTTATTATTGTGGTTCAATGCTGCTAGCTGCTGTCTGGCCAACATTCCTGCACAGGTAGAGATCGGTTGTAAAATGTAAAATTTATTATAAAGTCTTTGTATGAGTTACATGTATACATGTCACGACTGAGTCAAGGTGTTTTTCTTGCATATTAGCCTAAACAATCGCACGTAGTGATAAGCGTTGTGGTGGTCAAATCACACTTCTTCAGACACCACATTCATAACACATAATTACCTGTGTAGGAGAAATGGATGCGCTTTGGTGTCCACACCAGCTGATTGGAGTGGAACACCTCCAGGGATCCAGTGTGGCTGAACTCCGTCAGATGCAGCAAGTCGGCCAGAATGGTGCGGTCCGATAAGATCTTGATGAGGGCTGCGTGCTGCGCGGATCCACTGGCAAGCCACTATGTGCTCGAATCTTCCGGAAGATCTTCATGGGCGCACTTCACGAACTTAGTGGCGCCTACCCAGGAGTGCACGTTCGTGATGTGGTGCTGCAGCGACGACCACTTCTCCTGCAGCAGAACCGGATCTCCTGGCGAAGATGAAGCACACCACCAAAGGTGATTTGCTATGGCAGGAATCCATTTCCTCAGCATCTCCATATCTTTTTTCGTTGTGGCCTTGGTCAGCTTCTTGGAAATGGACTTCGCAAAGTGCCAGATGTCGAACTGGTGGTTGACCGTTCCGAAGCTGTCCCTCATCATGGCCTTGACCTGCGCACTTCTATCAGTGGCAAACTGAACAATGCTGAAAGGGCTGTCTTCACATCGGTGAAGAATCCTGCGCAGCCCTTCTCTCTCCATAGTACCACTATTGTTTCCGGTCATAGATACATGCATCAGTTCAAAATCGAAAATCAAATCCGTGGACTCTTCCATGATGGTGTAGGTGCAGTACTTGGCAGAGTAGCCCGGACTGTCGCATCGACCATCTCCTATGAACTTCAGTGGTTCGTCAGTAGCCAGTATGTGGAGAGAGCCGACATGATTGCTCCACGCTTTGTTCACGACAGGGCACAACATTTTCCGTTGTATTTCGTAATACACAGACTTGCCCATGACACAAAGGTTCAATAGCGACGCGAATAGTGAGAAGGTGTTGTACAGGCAGCCACTGAACAATATTGCAGCAGATAACAGAAGGTTTCCGACGGGTGCACGTTGCAGTTTAGGTTGCGACTTCCATTGCACAGTGTGACCTGATACACATACAGCTGTCACGATCAGAAGGGATCCTTGTGTAGTCTTGGATGTTTGTGCAACTTTCTGGGAAAAAAAAACAGGAAAAGACAAAAACAGCAGACATTTGTGAAATCAACAAGGAAAGTATCCAAGTCGATATTAGAAATTCCATGCCACCAGGAAGATGCGGCATAAAAAAATACCCTAGAAGATTTGGTCAAAAATTTCTTTCCCATATCATCAGTGTCTAGTTTAAAAAATAATAGCATTGTACTGTGGTTCACACTATACCTAGTTGTTATACAAATGCAAATACCATTATATGTACAAACAATACTTACCTCACCACATTCCTGACAGCGTTGAAAGAGATTGTCAAGGTTTTGCTCAAACACTATGAACTTCCTGTCGAACACGGGGTCATAATTCTCATCATCCCCACTCTCCGGCTCACCTGGCTCAAAAACAGAGTCATTATCTTCACATGAGCTAGAGGCACCGGTCTCTTCATCGTTAGTGGTGCATGTAGTACATAATGGCGGACATGGACCCTGTAAGATGACAAATTCCAACACCACAGACACCAGCAAATCTGCTCAGGATAAATGGATATCAATACCTGACAATACTCAAAACTTTCCAGGTCACACTGTTGAATCCATTATTGAGATGCATAACAGCACAAACCTCAGAATCAAGACAATCACAGGAAACCACTAGCAATATTCAGGTAGTTTGCAAGCGTCACTAAACTGACCTGAAGAACAGCTGTACTGCTATGTGATTGGGCTGTCTCCTGAACCTCCTCACACTCGACAGACGCAGGCATGGATGTGGTGGAATAGGATGTCCCTGTGCTCGTTGGGCCTGGTCCTCTACATTCTCGTGCAGCCTGTGATATTACGAGTACATGTACAATGCACCAGCACAAAAAATAGTGCGCTAACGTTACAACAGAACTAAAGCACAATAATGGAAACAAACAAGCAAATTGCACTTACCAGCTCCTCGTCTGATTCCTCCTGCTCGCGTTTTCGCTTGAGGTAAAGTGATTCCTTTCGAGGTGTTGTTTTCGGTGTGGAACTAGACTTTGCAGACAGACCTGAACTCGCAAATAACGTTGGCACTGCACCCTCCACGAGCTTACGAGGTCGCTTTTTGCCAGACTGGCTCATCGCTCCGCTAGCCATGAATTCGCTCATCATATCACGCTGAAAGCAGGTCGGTTCAAAGTGGGCTGAACACAAACGATCCCACTTGATTGGCTCAAAGAGCTTGTGTGTTTTCCCACCGGCGACTCGAGCTGCTCTGCCCATGTTTTTCACCCACGAAAGACGCAACTCATTGTCGTGGGGAAACGTAAACCACGTCAAATTCTTGCAGGCATCATCCTTCGAATCGTTCGAACAGCCGGGAGCACAGCACCTCGGCATGACCGAGAGGAAATTTGAAGCTGGCACATCGACGACATGAAAGAAACAAACTTGACAGCTGCCCTGTAAAGCTTCACCTCGACAGTTTCAGCAGTGTTCCCATTCGAGCTCCGGGAGCGCAATTGAGCTCCTAATCACACGTGACGTCATCAAGGCCCCCGCGGAGGAGACAAACTTGGCCCTCCCTGGCTTCATATATCGACTTTTTGGGTCTAGTTTTCGCGATTCCCCATTCCTTGGGGGCCATACGAAGCCCTCATGAAGAGAACACACTACCGAAAATATTCCCGGAGTGCCCCTTTAACTTGGAGGTTTTTTGCAGCTTCCTCTGTAGAAAGTAGTTTGGTGGGTTCTTCTGTTCCCAAAGCATTGCAAAGTACTGAACCAATTCTTTTCGTACAACACCGTATGTTCTTTGCCCTAATTTTGCGTATTTAGGGAACTGTTTCTTCACTGCATTTGAGCGAAGTAATTTTCTCCAGGACAACCAGTGCCTAGGCCCATTGATGGAAAATTCTCATTTCAGTTTATTCTCTTCTCCTCCAAACTACCAGCCAAAATAAACAGTTTTGAGGAGACTTGACCTCTAGGCTGAGCAGTTTGTGGTCTCAGAGCTCTAGGCTGAGCAGCTTGTGGTCTCTGAGCTCTGGTTCCTCGGAGCGTGGTGTCGGCCTTTCAGCTAAATGTGCCGCATTGTACTTCAGTCACACCCGTCTGTTTGAAGGGTTTGCATAGGTGGGCTGAGACACGCTAAGTGGGATAATTCTTTTAAAAATGTAATTAAAATAGAAGAAATCACATGGAAACGAGTTATGAAGCAACTATCCATGACAGTATCAAGATTATAAACAGTCATAAAGTGTGATAACAGGACACAAAACTGGCATGTTACCGAGACACTCAACAACCTGGATAGTTGCTTTATAGCTCGTTCCATGTGATTTCTTCTATTCTATTTTAATTATATTTATTGGCTCAGTAGCCGGTTTAAATGATTTCAAGTGTTTTTAGTTTGCTCCGCCATCCAGCAGAGTGTGTGAGAATAGCAATATCCTGCAAGCTCAACGTGTGGGAGATAACTTGAACCTATCCACCCCCCCCCCCCTCCCCCGTCCCTATCTCTCCTCTTTGCATGGTGATTCGTTCACTAAAGCTAATGTCATGCTCTTGTGTACTTACAGCCTCGTTGTTTGATGCCTCGCCAAATGTACGTAAGTATGATGACTTGACAATGGTAGAAATCACCCCACCCCCATGTCACCGTCTTGATCTTTCACTTTTCCTTGGCTGAGTTTGGCAGGCGTTTGCCCCATATGGGTTCTTGGGTGCCCGGAACCCCCCTTTTTTCGCTCAAAATGCAGGATTTTGCTTCATCTTCTGAAATTTTTCCCGCGGGAGTCCCCTCACTGGAACACCCCCCCCTTGAAGGGCACCGGCGCACGCGCCTCTTTGGTATTGTTTCTTCTCTGTGCCGAGTTTGGCCAGTTGCTTCACAGGGAAACGCAGGGTGACGTTAGTTTTTGACCTATCAGATTTGGGTAGAAACTTCCTCTGTTGGTGGATGCGTTTGATTCCTTCCACCCAGAACTGTAGATTGTAATCTTCTCTGTTGGTGGATGCGTTTGATTCCTTCCACCCAGAACGGAAGATTGTAATCTTCTCTGTTGGTGGATGCGTTTGATTCCTTCCACCCAGAACTGTAGATTGTAATCTTCTCTGTTGGTGGATGCGTTTGATTCCTTCCACCCAGAACGGAAGATTGTAATCTTCTCTGTTGGTGGATGCGTTTGATTCCTTCCACCCAGAACGGAAGATTGTAATCTTCTCTGTTGGTGGATGCGTTTGATTCCTTCCACCCAGAACTGTAGATTGTAATCTTCTCTGTTGGTGGATGCGTTTGATTCCTTCCACCCAGAACTGTAGATTGTAATCTTCTCTGTTGGTGGATGCGTTTGATTCCTTCCACCCAGAACTGTAGATTGTAATCTTCTCTGTTGGTGGATGCGTTTGATTCCTTCCACCCAGAACTGTAGATTGTAATCTTCTCTGTTGGTGGATGCGTTTGATTCCTTCCACCCAGAACGGAAGATTGTAATCTTCTCTGTTGGTGGATGCGTTTGATTCCTTCCACCCAAAAACGGTAGATTGTAATCTTCTCTAGCGGTGTACTGTATAAGTAGAAATTTTCGTTTGGAATTAACTTTCGCTATATTCGTTTGGAGCCACGAAATATTTATATATATGAGCCAGGGACTATAGAAACCGCCCTACGACGTTTGATATCAAAATCAAGTTATGACGTTTCAAAGTCACGCGACTCAAAGTTACGCGAAGCGCAGAACTCGTCACTTTTGTTTTGACAAGACTCAAGAGCTGTCCTCTTGTTAGGTGTTCGGGGAAGGATTCCGAGCTCGAGCGATTGTCGAGTAACTCATGAGGCTCCACTTACTGTGATTGATTATGGCAACAACATCTAGTAGACGACGCAGCTCGATTCTGTGTGGAGTCGACTAGTCCCTGATGCGAAGGTGCTTGAACTGGACGACGAGAATTTTTACGGATTCAGCGCTGGCACCCGCGAGTCGTCCGCGAGCGATTCCGACGCCGATGCTGACAGCGACGGCGATGATATGCCACCCAGAAGGAGAAGAAGACGTATGGAGTCACAGCAAGCTCGAGTGCTGCTAGTGTTGTGTCGAAAACGCCAAGCCCCGACAGCTCGGAAATTTCAAACGCGGAGAGTGACACCGACTACTCGGAATCGGATGACGAACCAGATACCCCCGCACCTGAGCCACCGACGACGGAGCAGGTGAAGCGTGGTCTCCTCGGACATACGCGATGGGATCGAGAGAGGCTGTGGATGCAAGTCGAAGAATCATTGGAAAGTCATCCCAGAGCAGCAGCTCGAGGACTACATATTTGAAGTCTCTAAACTGCGAGAATCGAAAAAGCGCTTCAACAGTTCAAGCAGTTTGTTCTGGGCGCACTGACTGGAAGCATGCGAAAGTCGATGACTGGCGGTGGTGATCGACCTTTCTATTTCCGCTATCATGTACGTGGTTACGAGTTGTGCAAAGACGTGTTCATGGCAGTTCCTGCTGTTGGAAGTCCTGTAATGAAGCGCCTTCAAAAAAAGCAAACAAAGGAGTCGTTCAACTGGCACAACATGGCTTGACTGGGAGAACACCAGAGCACTTGGCCATTTCAGCAGACATGGAGCAGGATGTAGTGCAGTTTATTTAGTCATAATTATGCTAAAATGTACGGTCTACGTCAACCTGCAGCGGAGCGAGGTCGTGCTGAGGACCCTCCAGTATACTTACCAGCATCCGAGAACAAGAAGTCTGCATACAACATCTACACCAAGACCGTCACACAGTATTCGCCTGTTCATTACAGGTCATTTTGCCACATTTGGAGGAGACAGGCAGCACATATCAAAGTGATGAAGCCAAGGACAGACGTATGCGCATTGTGTCACAATTTGTGTGACAATCTGTGGTACAAAATTCGTGTCGCCCGTACAGAGGAAGAGACGGAATGTAGTGTCCAGGCGCTGCGTTCGCACACATCGCTAGCACAAGAGGAGCGGCAGTACTACCGAGATTTAGTGGACGGCGCGCAGGCGTCACTGGATGAAGCTGAGGGCATAGTTCACTATACATTTGAACTGCCTAACTAGCAAGAATGAAGATATACAAAGAACATTACATACTGCGTACATAAAAAATAATTTGCTCTATATCGCTCAATTGATATGCCATTATTAAATAGTTGGTTAGGCACATTTTACCATCGCAGATCAACTTGAAATTTTGTTTGAGCACATTACCATACCATACCAACATTTTGAGAGAAAAAAAAAATTTCTCCAAAAAGTGCCATAGGGTGGTTTCTGTAGTCCCTGGCTCATATTTATAATATATTTATATTTATCACTCTCTTATTATTGACCCCCACAGAAACTTGATCTCTAAGCGGTCAAATATCGGCATTAGGGAGGTTCCGGAGGACGTTTTTTCGAGCCAAAATCCGTGGAGGCGCTACGAAATTTTTATACGTCGTTTTCGAGCAGAGAAATGTTCCGGGGTACGTAACTTATGTGTTTGCCGTCATTGCCTAGGTTACGATCGCAAACACGTCACATTCCCGCGCTATGCCTTTCTATTTTGAAAATTGGTACCGAAATCAAAACTTCCCGCGAAAAATCGAAAAAATCTTTCTGCACCCGATGACGCAAAATCTCCATACGAAACATGGTTCGTATGAAAGCCAGTCCACACGGATTCTCCGTGCCGAAAAATCGTATGGAGCACGCCTGGAAAAAATCCGTAGCGCCCACACGGATTTTGGCACGGAAAATCGTACCCCGGAACCTCTCTATTTATTACATGTCAGGTGACCGTTTCCAGGTCTACAGCCAATCAGCGACCAGATAGAGCGGGCAATATTCCTCCATACAAGCTCGCTCAGGCGGTCCAATATTACACGATATTGCCGGCATTTGACCCCATACACACTGCACACATACACATACAAGTAGGCGCGCATGGAGATGTAATACCAGTTGGATACATGTGCCTCGTAGTTTTCCGTAGTACCACTGTACCATGATGCCGAATTCCACGTGTGAAGGCAGTGTACGTTGATGAGTACATCAAATTAGGGAAGTATGCATGTAATAAATGTGTTATCAGCCTCGTAGTACGGGCAATACCGGCTACGATATCTGCCCTCACGGCTGACGCCGTTAACACAGATATCGGCTGGTATTGCCCGTACTACGAGGCTAATTAAGCCTAGTTCACATTCGACGGGGCGCGACGAGACGCGACGGGACGCGACGTAAGGATCGATGGGAAGCGACGGGACGGTCTGACGGCGTCCAATGTGAACACCAGGAACGGGAACGCAACCGTTCTACCGTACAGATCGGGAAGCGACGGGAAGAGTTGGATCGATCCAACTTTTCACACCGTAGACGGGCGTAGACGGGGACGCAAGCGTACAAAACGGCTGCAATTCGAGTGTGAACAGGAGAC